CGATGGATTTCCTTCTTGCGACTGAATTGTTTGAGAAACCACCAGAAAAATGGATGGTCCGCAAGGGATTCCATCGCAAGTGATGTGTGCTCGGAAAAACGACTAGGGACTATCGCGATTGTCTTGTCGTCTTATCCCGGATCTCGTGCTGGTGTCTAGTTTGGGACGAAGAAATTGAGCATGAAGCTTTGCTTCCTCTAGAAACCTTAAGGGTTGCCGCTCCAGTCAAAAAAGCTGCACAGAGAGAATTTTGCGCATTGCCGCACAATTGTGCAGCAGATTACGATCGTCTTGTCCGTCTCCGCCACATCTGTGGCTCTTTTACGAACCATCGCAGACATCGCAGCTACGCCCTGTCTTTCTTTCAATGTGCATCACATGAAGTTCGTGGGTGTTGTGCTTTCAGGTCTATTATCATGAAAGTTACACTTGCGGTCACGAACACGACATAGCGATACTTGAGCTCGGTGAAAATGTTCTCGAATCTGAGGCGACACCCATTTGTTTGCCGAAGGAGAACGAAGAGATTTACCATAACCTCAAGGCAATAGGAGCAGGCTTAACTGGACGTAAGTTCCAAAGCATAAGCAGCACTTGCTTCTGTCTATTACGTTCTTTTTCTATTTTTCGCATCGTTTTGAGGAAAACATTGCGGAACCCTAACACTAAAATATCCCAGGATCTCAGCGAATATTTCAGCCGACGAAAAGTCAAATCCACCTGACGGACAGCAACTCATCCATGTCACATTCTCAGAATCAAGAAATAACGTGATAATAGTGAAAACCGCTCCAAGAGTAGGAATATGTGGTGTGAGCGATTGTTGTAAAGAGAGTAGAAATCTGCAGACAACTGTAACGGCTATTATGTAATTCTTGTTCTTAAGGGTGATAGTGGAGGTCCGCTTTTCCAAACCAACGATGAAAAGAGAAATGTGCTGATGGGAGTGATGTCTGAAGGCACTTCATGCGAGGAACGTAAGTTGCAATGGTTTTTTTTGTTCCAGAAATTTCGGAGCTTTTGGCATTACTACCTCAGCCACCCGGAATCATGCCAGCTTTTTACCGACTTTTTCTTCGTGGACAGACCTGGCTCAAATGTGGTCTAGTAGAGTAGTTCAACCTCCTGATAACGAATATGGCATCTGCTTGGCCAGAACATCGTTGTGCCCGTACCACAGGCGCCGGCGCCAAAATACTTGAGATCACCAAAATCGCTGAAAACTTGTCAACAGAGGTAGTTTGCCCTCCTAAACACGAATGTGCCATCTGCTTGGCTCGAAATCTACTGGCGCCGACGCCAAAGCACTTCAAATCCCGAAAATCGTTTAAAGTGTGTCAACTGGGGTAGTTTGACCGACTAATACGAACGTCACACCCGTTCAGTCTGAAAACACCTGACACATACAACTCGTCAATCGAGGCAGTGATTAGGGCGCGGTCGTCAACGGGCCGCAGCGCGTGCCAGGAACTATTTGCTTTTTCCAGGCTAATTTAGTCATTTTTTCCAACTTTTCACTGTTTTGGCTACTTTTTCCCAGATTAGCTCCTTATCTTCACAAGGTGGAAAAAAATGACTAAATTAGCCTGGAAAAAGCAAATAGTTCCTGGCACGCGCTGCGGCCCGTTGACGACCGCCCTAATCAACTGCCCGGATGACGAGGTTATGTTACTGTCACCAGTCGCTTCTTTGGGAGGCATGTCTCTTACTCCGACATCATCCACGGCTGATCCGTGTTGCACAGGGCTGCAGTCGCTGGTGGTGTGTAGCTGTATGTTAGGGCAGTTAGGCGAACGGTGAAAAAAAACAGCACTCTCCTCGATTGCCTAAATGTCCTTTCTTTTACTAAGGGTCAGCCTTTGCAGATGAAGGGATCACTATCACTGGAGAAGGGTGCAGACAACAGAAGCAGGCTGCTCTATCACTTGTACCCCTGTACTCCACCCTATTCCGTCCCGTACAGATATGGGGAGGGTAAACTACCCCCACAGACAAGTTTTCAGCAAATTTGGTGATTTAGGGTATTTTGGCGCGGCATCCGTGGCGCTGGCGGAAGGAGGTTTCGGGCTGAGCGGATATAATCTCCGTGTTCAAAGGGTCAAATTACCACAACTCTATGCGAATTTGGGTGTGATGTCCAGTCATTCTGGTTTCGGGTCGTTAAGGGACGTAGTGCCGTGTTCAGGCAGATCAAACTGACCCTAGGAGACAATTTTTCACGCCAACCGGAGGAGAACCAATCAGTAACAAACCCTCGGCCTGAATTCGGATGGTTCGAGCATTAAAGGTGAAAAAAGTTGCCGAGATTTTTTTCGTCTGATGTGAGAGAACCTTGGACTTTCACAAACGTTGCGCGGCGAATGTCATCAATGAATGAGCGACATGATTGCTCATGCGTGCTAATCTTACCAGGAAGGTGGAACAGGTCAGCCTGGACATTGTGCACGGGTGCACGGTCCTTACTCGCCTGAGACGCATGACACTCCAAACTATCTTCAAAATTTGCGGAACGATTCCCTAAGCGGAGCTATGGAGGTTTTTCTCTACTGTTTCCTTTCTTCAAGACGCGCTGGCGTCGGGCGTTGGCACCTGTAGCGCGACACACAAGGCTCTTGGTGCGAAGCAGGTGCCATCGTAATCAGGGGGTCAACTAATTCCTATCGACGGCACTTTAGCGGAATCTGATGTGCTGACTTAACTTCGAAAAAATGAGTAAGGTTAGTCATGGCTTAGAGGTAAACGAACAGCGATTACACGACTAGCCTACGGGGGCGATGACTGCGTCTTCCGCAGCGGAAATAACTCTTCGAGACACGTTTTTCTAACAGAAAAGTGATACCTGGTTCACTTATTCGTGCTGTCTGCATCATCTTGCTGGCTCGATACAATACAATTTATTCCGCTACTCATCTGATATATACAGAGAAACGGGCCATGCTCTGAAACCATTCGGGTGTAGTCGCGATGTTCTTCCAGTCCGTTCCAGCAAACATCTTGAGATCGTCATCCCATCGCATTCGTGGCCTTCCGACTGGCTTTGTTTCCGGAGGGCTTCAATTCACAGTCGAATTTCCCAGGGCGTGGTGTGATCTACTGGTCATCAATTTTATTTCACAGTATATCCATTTAGCGTTTTTTTCTGGCTTCCAGCAAACGACGTCTTTCAGCTGTGCTCCTAGTCTATAGCTGTATCGGATACCTTGTCGCTGAGTCGGGAGACCGAGCATCTGTCGCTCCATTCTTCGCTGAGTTTTCCGCAGACGTTCTTCATGCGCCTTCGCTAGTGCCCATGTCTCGCATCCGTACAGTAGTGCAGGCATTACGCAGATATGGAAGAAACGTCGTTTGATCCGCATCGGCGTCATCTTGCTTCTTAGTAGAGTTCTGACTTTTCTGTGGATGTTCCATGCCGAGCTGATCCTAGAGCTGATTTCCTGACCGCGTTCCTGCGGAAAACAGATAACTTGGCCCAGGTAGACGAATGATGTTACTTGTGCAATCTCCACCTCGTTTACTCTGAGTTGATGGCCGTTGGAGCTGGTTGACATCCATTTGGTCTTATTTGCGTTCACTTCTAGTCCAGCCTCTTTGGTCGCTCTAGTGAGTTTATGGAGCATTATTTGTAATCCATCAATAGTTGGAGAGCACAGAAAAAGATCGTCAGCATATGCGAGGTAATTGAGACGATGTTGACCAATGGGGTACCCATTGATCCTCCAGTCCAAGGGTCCGTCAAGGCACGGAATGGAGTGCTTAGGTACTGAAACAGCAATGGGGATAGTGATTCACTCTTGGTCGAACTATTTTGGGGGTATGCCCTCATCTTCTCTGTAGCACTGAGTGTCAGAAATGATAGGCCAGCAGCGTAGAGCTGCTTTATCATCCGTACAGTCGTCTACTCCATATTTACCTAGTGCTCACCAGATAGCGCTTGATTTCGATGGAAAGCCGTGTGTCGAGGCTTTTGATAATCAACGAACACCATATGTAGTGGTTTCCTCCATTCACGGCATTTTTCCATCAACAGATTGACGGACATAATGTGGTCACGGGTGGAGGAGACGCGCTGAATCCAGCTTGCTCAATGGGAATAGAGCTCATTACTTCTTCTTCCACACGATGAGCTAGTGCACGGGTGAGAACTTTGAAGAGCGTCGACAATAAGGAGATTGGTCTATAGTTGCCGATGTTGGAAGGGTCACCCTTTTTATAGAGAAGGATGGTTTTAGCCTTAACGAAACTTTCCGGGAACTGGTTGAGTTCGAAAAATTGGTTGAGTTCGGTTGCGAGATCGTTTGCACACATGGGGACCAGATACTTCGTTACACTGGATGGGGATGCAGTATTTCCACGAATACCACGGCATGCTTTACAGAGTTCGTCTGCAAACCGGCCGTCCCAACGGGCCAGTCACCGAGAGTAAACAAAAGGTCCTTGGGAGGAGCGGTAGAGCTCGTTGTAGAACGCAGCAGCGGTATCAATGGCTTCTAGTGGCTGTTGTCGTCAAAGAACCATCTGCACGATGAAGTTGTGATATTTGTTTATGCACATAGGCCAACTCGTATCTAGCATGCCTTATCCTTAGTTTTTCGATTGCACTTTCCATGAGTCGGTCGTTGTGCTTCCGCAAATCATCTGTGAGTGACCATCGGACTTGTTTACATAGCAACGTGTATAGCAGGGGATTCGTGGAGCCATTTGCCAATCCAAACTTCTGCTTTCTTCGCTCTGCCATCAGTGCCCTTGTGCGAGCAGAGACTCGTTCCACTCGCTGCTGAAAAGTTTTGAGTCAAGATCATGCAATTTTTAGCCACCTGTGACGAGCTTGAAAATCCGGGAAACCACTTTGTTGGAGCGGGGCGAATGCAGCCATGCCAGCGCTGTGGTTTTCAGGCTTGTCGAAGCGCTGTCGAGGGCCTTCTTTTGCCGTGGAAATGAGCAGGCTTCATTGACATCGCCAAAGTTACTCGTACCATGCGGTGATCGCTACCGACATTGCATCCAGAAAGCGTTGTCACATCGCGGACAAACCTCGGGTTGGGGCATAGTACCTGGTCTATTTCAGTACGGGTGGTTCCGTTTGGGCTTCTCCATGTCCATTTTCCTTCCAAACCTTTTCTTGAAGATGGTGTTGGCGACTTACAAGGCCATTTGCAGAGCAGAATGACAGTAGTGTCGTGCCTCTATCGTTTCTTCTACCAATAGCATGAGTGTCCCGCAGTCCAGCCTCATGGTTTGACGGAGAGCGTCCTATGGACTGCATTGGAGTCGCCGATAAGATTATTTCGCGGTACAAGCTGGACTTCGGTAACGGGATGTTTCGTTGCCCTGCTTCCACATCGTCAAGGAAACCGCTCATTACTCCCTCATCTGCTGCCGGGCAGAAGTCGGCGCGGATGATGGTGAATTAATCCTGAGACCGTCTCTTTCTTATAAGGCAACTTCGCTTGTATTCGGACGATCGCTGATGTAATACCGACGAGCTTTGTTCATCCATGTGGACATGAAAAATCCCACTCCAGCGTATGTGGGGGTATCGTCGCAACGTCCATATGTGTGTATAATATTAGGTTGGCGGGAAAGTTCTGTCATATATTTTTGAACCCAAAATATTTGCTAATTTTCTGAAAAGCGTTAACCGGTAATATGAGCACTTATACATCAAAGAATGGTCTTTCTATTGGTATCACTGGCTTGACTCCTGCCTCTCCTTATCGTGCAATATGAACAAGAATGTTATCCGCTACCTTTGGCACCGACCCCTCCAAGTGCTTCCTCAAACTCTTTCTTCTACCGCCCTGGCGCCAGCATGACAGCTGTCGACGCCGAAATAACGGAGCTGCACATGGACAATGTCTACAGTCATCTGACAATCTTCCACGACGCTGGCTCTTCAGAGCGGGAGGCTACGGTGCGAATGGCGAAGTGATGTTTGGGAGTACCTGTGATCTCAGCTTGAGATAGCTGTGGGCCGGGATCAACTACTGTCATTTAAGAACAGCGCTGCTCTCCTCGCGTTAATCCGACGCACAGGCCAGCTAACGAGATCTGAAGCGAATCGTCAAGCAGAGGGCAAAATCCATCGGCACAGTCCGTCTTCAACGTGCTGGTGCAGCACACCCCGTCAAAAGAAGTTCGAGCCGTACTTCATGCAATGGAGCTGGATGGCTCTCCCCTTGCAATGATGTAGTCCAGACATTGCTCTTTCTGGCTGCTAGTCAAACTCCTGTATTCAACCGTTGCACAGCCGAGAAAACCTCCACGACTTGAGCCCAAGTCAAAGTTGAGATGATGTCCAACATTGCGTCGTGCCAGCCTCCATTGTGAAGCGGATGGGCATCACGCAAGTGCCGAAACATGGCTAGGGATTCCGCAATGACATTGCTGTATAATTTTGATCTTGTACGCCTCTCTATAAAAAGAAAGCCTTGTTTGAAAAAATGTGACAGAACTTTCCCGCCAACCTAATACAAAGCCTGATGCCAAGTTGAGGACATCTACGGTCTAGTGGCCGTCGGGTTTTCGGACTTAATCAAATCAGAGTGAAACCTTCCTACTACCTGACGTTAGGCTTACAAAATCGCCAAGTCGCTGATGAGAACAAGCGGCCGCGGACGTTGAACTGCGGCAGCATAGGTCAAGACGGGAAGTTGCCACTTCCAGACTATGGATTTGGACGGGAAGGTCAATCGATTGGAAGGAAACCACACCTCCGAGGTGGCGAAGCAGACGAAATGGAAATGATCTCTAATTCTAGTGATCTTTGCTGGCTACAACGAGGAGATTTCATCCCGGAAGACAGTCATCGAATTGGCGTAGGTGAGCCTCAGATGTGCCGTTAATTAAACCACTAGAAATAGCCGCATTCTCCAAGTTTGGTCGAAATATCAGATTTGGCTAGAAACTTGTCCCCAAGGGTAGCTTGACCCGCTGAACATGATTATCATGCTATTTCATTTGATTGACAAAAAAACTTGGTGCGTGTAGACATACAGTTCTCATCATTGCGGACCGGTGGGGCGTGTCAGCCAGAAGGAGTGCGCACACTGTTGAAGCCGTTCTCAGCCTTTTTTGTTGCAGCGCGTATGCGACCAAAAAGTGGTAGAAAACGAGTAATACGAAGGATATAATACAGTAATGCACTTGCCCGCTTCAAAACTGGTGCAGAACGACTTTGCCAAACCGCACCAAACGCAGCCGCACTGCCACGCCCCACCGGTCCGCAATGATGAGGACTGTATGTTAGGGTACAACGAAATGCACTCTTTCAGGCCACTTTACACTTGCAAAAAAAAATTGATCGTACGCTTCCTTACAGGCTAATGCAGGCGGGCAGAGATGTCAGGAGCTTTGTCAGCCATGTTGTTGAAAAATGAAAAATAAGCTGCTCCACGGGAACGGATCCCATGAGGCTCGCTACCTGTTGCGCTTTACTACCACGTTTCAGATCAACTCTCCACATATGAACAAGGACGCTTCCACGTTTCCTCGATAGCATGTATTTAGAACAACTACACGGGAGTAAGACCCTACATATCTCCGTCCAGTATCGCTTTTGGCTACCAGTCAGCTGTGACTGAACTAACCCCATTTTTCCGGAGTTGAGTCAGAACCTCAGATTTCGCTAGAGTGCCGTCGTTAGAAGTACTTGACCCCTGGACCGAATATGACACCTATTTTGCACGGAAAACGTTTTGTGTCGCGCTACAGATGGCCAACGCCCCGGCGCCAGCACGTCTTGAAGAAGGAAAACAGTAGAGAAAAACCTCCATAACTCCGCTCAGAAAATCATTGCGCAACTTTTGAAGGTAGATTTGAGTGCGTCTTCTAAAGACCTCAACTACGTGCACCAATTGCCAGGCTGACCTGTTGGCCTTCCCTGGTTAGTATACTCGATACCGTCGCAATCCGGCGGTGGCAATGTCAGGAGGCATGGAAGACCTCCCACACACTTCGCCGTGGCTGGATTTTCATTCTGCAGTTGGTACTGAATTCCTCTCGCGGTAGAAAACGCAATTTCGAGCCACTCAAGACTTTTCAAAGTTATGGCGACGCGCCACCCTTTCAACGACTGATGGGAAGGAAGCTGCGCTGCGCCGATACCCCGCCGCTACCCACCCCGACCGACTTCAGCGATAACGACTATACGTGCCTTCAAGTGCATCTCATGAGTACGTGCCTTCAAGTGCATCTGATGAATGATGATAGCAAGTTAAACAGAATGGTAATGAAGTTTCTGTACGCCATGCATTTCAGATTACGAAAAATTGAAAAGTAAATACTCCTTCGACGATACGTACGATAAATTCACTGACGTGCGTCAATATTTATACTGGATATGTGATAAGACAGGTAGGCCAATCCCATGCACAAGCCACTTGCCGTTGAGAAGCCTATTTTTACATGTGCGAATATGAAAATTTCAGGTGTCTGCGCTCAAAATTGAGGTCTTCATCAAGCAAAGTGTGACAGACCATCTGTCGTTCCCTACCTGTATGGATTTTTCCTTACAAAGTTGCTTGTCGCTGAAAATTTGGGCTTTGCTAGGCAGAACCGAATCGAATAAATCTTCATTCAAGAATTGAACAAGATTAACAAAGAAATTAGGGGGCACTGCAGTGAAAAGTGATCACCTTGTTGTCGCCGAAGATTGGATTTTCTCATTATCAACTGACGATGTACCTGAGTCTTCCGCAGTACACTAGAAATAAAATGCGCGGCGCAGCGCAGTGGAATCCGTGTTAAACGAACTAGTTTGTAGTGCGGTCAGGGCACGTCGTGACGCGGTGAAAACGGCCCAGCGCTACAACCAGCCCCGACCTAAAGGGGTCTTGGAAGGGGAAGAAGGTATTTCTGTGATTCCTATGCCATGATATTGCGATTGGTCTGCTAGCAGTTTTTCCGGTGGGAACACAGTTCAGTCTTGGAGGGGGGGGGGTCATGATTTTTGGCGTAGTCACTTGAACAACCTTGGGCCTCTACCGCCGCTATCTCACCACTTTCTGACGTGACACTTATACAGGGTTGCTCGATGAGTTCACACTACTTGATGAACAGTCTAGCTAGTTGTAGGTGATCATGAGCCATCCGCTTGTGAAAAGGCATGCCGCCCGCCCACTGGCTGCCATAACTGCTTTGGCTTAGCCTTCAAAGGCTGAGCCCGCTTTCAAGAATAATGAGTTATGGAGCTCATATAATACGTGATCCAGTAGTGAAGAAAAAAGCAGAAAAATCATGGAAAATGCCCTATATAAAACCCTATAGAACCCTGTGCTGGTCTCGTGGGCCGGCGGCCGTTCGCTAGAAAACGGCGCTATCCTCTCGCCTTTTTGAGATGCAAAACTAGTACATGCATCCTCATAGGGAGGGCTATGATATCCAGAGAGGGCGCAGGAACATCAAATGAACGTGGGCGCTGCCTTTGACGAAGCTCCCGTCTTCGGCGATAAAAACTTCGCCGGCACTAATACAAAAACTATAGAGATGGCAGACTATCATCAGACATCTCCCCTGCTCCTCGTTGTGATGAACCTTTTCTCGAACATCGTACTTCCGCCAATAACGAGGAAATTTTCGTGTAGCAATACCACTCATTTTGTATTTTGCTGATTTTGATTACGAAACCGCCCACACCCTATTGATTGGGCCAGGTTCTTTTCCGACTTCCACATGCTAATCCACAGCGGGAATACGTGCGTACTTGGCTTGGATTCGCTCTGATCAAGGCGACTTGTACACTGTTCAGTCGATCTTCCAGTGAAGAAAACAAGGGTCGTCTTTCGTTTTCATGCGCGAGGCGAGCAAAACGGTAAAACTTTCCTCATAGGAAGTCCATGGAAAGGAAGCAGGATCAGGGCACACCACTGCTTGGGGATTTTGGTATTTTGGTGCTTGTCACCCCCTCCTTTTTGGTGTGCTGGTACGACCCCCTGGTCCCCTCCTCATCGAGTTGTCCAAGGGATAGAAGCCCCCTCACTCATCTCCCTACCATTTCTCATTCCTTATATTTTCTCTCGACTTTCTCTT